AATGACAAAAGAGCACCACACAACAAATGAGTCTACAGGCTCAAAGAGTATTCAGGTGGTAGCAAACGCTACAAGGTAAGACTTATTGTGAAAGTTTTCCAGTAGAAGGAAGGAGTAGATTATACAAAGTTCTTTTCTCCATTGGTAAAGATGACAACTATTAGGGTTGTACTGAGTCTGGTAGCAGAGGATAATCTACATCTGGAGCAAAATGGATATAAAAACAACTTTCCTACATGGAAATCTAGAGGAGGAGCTATACATGGTGCAACCACAAGATTATAAGGTTTTAGGCAAAGAAGGTTTTGTCTACAGATTGAAGAAGAGCCTCTATGGCTTAAAGCAGGCTCCGAGACAGTGGTACGGGAGGTTTGACAGGTTCATGTCAGACAACAAGTACATGAGGTGTTAGACAGACCATTGTTGCTTCATCAAACACATCGGTAATTGTTATATCTTGTTTTTCTTGTACGTGGATGACATGCTGATTGCAAGAGCAGATATGGAGAAAATCAAAGACTTGAAAAATAGTTATCAAGTGAGTTCGAGATTAAGAATTTAGGTCTAACCAAAAAGATCCTTAGGATGAGAATCAACAAGGACAGGAGTGCAAAAACACTGAAGTTGTTTAAGATAGATTATGCCGAGAAGATCCCACAGAGGTTCATCATGGGAGACGCAAAATCAGTTTGCACCACCTTAGTTAGTCCGTTCAAACTATCTAAAGAGCTATCGCCTAACGCTGAAGCAGAGCAGGCATTCATGGAGATAACTTTGTATGTTTTAACAGTTAGAAGTTTGATGTACATAATGATTTGTACTAAGTCAGATATTGCATATGCAGTGAGAGTGGTCAACAGGTAAATGGGCTATTCAGACATACATTATTGGGAGACAATGAAGTGGATTATCAGTTTTTTCAGGGGAATAATCAACATGATACTTTGTTATGAAAGTGCGGGGATTAGTACAAAGATTTGTAAATTCAGATGTGACAGGAGATGTGGATAGTAGGAGAAGTTGAGGCATATCTTTACATTGGGGAATACATCGGTAAGTTGGGTTTCCAAGTTGCAGAAGTTCATTGCACTTTCAACTATAGAGACAGAATATATTGCTATCACTGAGGCTAGCAAGAAGTTGATTTGTCTACAGAGTTTCATGGCAGAATTGGGCAAGTAGCAGGGATTAGAAAACTTCACTATGATTGTATAAATGTGATTCATCTTCTAAGAATGCAGTTTTTCTTGCCATGACGAAACACATTCAGCTTAGGTATCATTTCATTCGCTCTCTTCTAGAAGATTGACAGTTGTTCCCGGTGAAGATACACAGCTAAGAATCCTGCCGACTTGTTGGCGAAGACAGTGATTGTTGAGAAACAGAAGCTATGATTGACTTTAGTTGGGTTTCATGATGGTTGAAACTGGGGGTGAGCCATTCAACGGTACGTGACTATGAAGGCGATTCAGATGGAAGTGCAGGTACAGATGACTGGTGTTGGATGTTATCATCTCCAAGTGGGAGTGTTGGGTTTTTGGAGCCAAAGCATCCACACGGATGACCGAGCACCTGGTTGCGGGCGCTCCATCCCCCACTTGGGCACAACACAGTGAAGGGGGTGCATGGCGCCCAATATTGGGTGCTTGGTCCAGTAAGCTTGGCGCTTAGGCGCCAAGTCCGAGCACCTATTCGCCCGGAGCAGTTTTTTCACGATCTTTGTTTCAAGGGCTGAATTTTAATGCCTTAAAGGATATAAGTTTCTGTGCGAGATTTCTTCGACAAGTTCCTGGTGAAGGAGTGAAGTTTCAGAGAGGAGGATTTATGTGATTTCGATGTGCGTTTCTCGCATCGGATTGAAGCAGAAAGAGTTTAGAGTGAGGTCTTGTAAGTTTTTTCGAGTGAGGAGACGAAATTGAGTGTGTTCTCTGGAAACTCTCTGATTTTCATAGTGGAAGTTTCCTGGTGGTATGACTAGTTTTTTCTTATTCTCGAGTTTTTCCACGTTATATTATTGTGTCATTTTTTTTTGTTTGCTTTGTTGTGCTTCAGTTAGTAAGTTTGTTCCGGTTTTTCTCGAATCAACGTGATCCAATTCCGTGGTGTGGTTAAGATTTCTAATTGAGTCTAAACCCCGATGAATTTTAAAGGGGATTCTTCTGAGTTGTTTTCTCAACCTAGGTAGTGTGAGTCCATAGATAATCTAGGATCTAACATTCTCACATATGTATTGAGCGTGTATCATACTACAAATTCAACTAGAAGTCTTTCACAGAGAACTTAATAACAGAGAACTTTGTCAACTTGGAGTACATCAGGAGTATTTAGTGCAGCAGATTAACGGATTGAATGAACATATGATGACAATAATTCAAGAAACATTAGAGAATGTGCTAACGGTGACACTGTGTGTTCAAATGTCACTTGATTTTTTGCAAGCGGTGGTAACCGAAGGAGAATACCAACTGCTATACCGGTAACACGTAGCTTCGCTTTTCACTCAGAAGAAAAAGAAGTGAAACTTATTACTTTGACAGCGAAGGCTCTATTTTATTTGATCATTTGAGAGAGGAAAAAAGACAGGTTGTACAAAAGAGGAAGCAACCACCAGAGAATGCATTCTCTAGAGAGATCGTAGAAGCTGAGCTGTTAGAGAAATTTAAGATTCATTTTCTAGAATCTTATAAAGTGTGATTTGTTCCTACAGATTAGTAGCATTGTTCAAATTTGTAGCATGTCTACCGAGGATCAATGACTCATTGAAATGCCACCTGTTCTTCATAGTTATGAGAGGCTCTTTACAAGCTCAATTGTTTATCACTTGGAGTCATTAATTCTTTCGCTCAGTTCAAGCACATATTTATTGAGCAATTCCGCAAAGCCGAAAGTCTACAGAAGAATTTGTCGGTTTTAGAGGGAATAGCCACACAATTTGAGGATTCCAATGTGAGCCCGTAGAGCTCGCTTTATGATAAAAAATGTGAGATGTAATACATTAGTTGCTAATTCAGAGTTTTTGGATGCCGAATTAGCCTTTGTAACTAGTACTCAACGACAGCAACTAAATCCAAATGAAATTAATACACTGCCGAAAATGAATGAATACAATAGATGGATGAATTATTCGTTGCTACTCGTATTCAACCCAACAGCTAACTCCAAATAAGATTCTCTTTAAGTTTAGTTTAAAGGTCAGGTTCTAGGCTTGTACTTCTTGCCATTTTCACTTTTAGCCAATTTATTAGCCTGCAGTTGGACCTATAGCGGGTAGGGAAAATTAGCACACATTCGGCATGCAAAACAGCGTCTATCTTGCGGCTGGGCTCATTCCAGTTAACCTGCCACGCTAGCGGAAATTTCTATCCAAGTTTAGGAATTTAAGAGAACCCAAACTAATTGGAGGACAGAAAACTTTACGTAAGTTGATTTTTTTATTTAGGAACATCTAATTTTCCTTAAGTCTCTCAAATTCATGTTCCCTTAATTTATTGGCAGGAGAATCCAGCCACAACTAAGGTACTCAACCGGAAAATAGATTGACAATCTTATGGCAGACTCTATTAACTTTCTAGCCCTTAAATACTAAACTAGCCTTAATAAGAGAAAAGACAAAAAGAGAACTAAGATTAAAAAAATCATGAAGGAATACTTTTACTAAACTTTTAAACATATCAAGACGAATAGAAAAAGTGCTCTCATTTGTAAGAGAAAATGAGCTGAAACAGGGAGCCATGATTTAAAAGATAATTAAATTACTACTCTTTTTTTTCTCGATTGTTTTATCTTTTCTTACTTTGTCTTTGAAACCCCTTGTTTTATTTGAAGTTAAACCTATTATTAAAAGATAATTAAATTAGATTTGTAGATAGAGGATTCTAAAGGGAGAAAGGGGGAGATGTTTTAATTATAGGGAAATTTCCAATAAAGGATTTGTCGCTCCTTAAAATTTATGCTTGGATTAGAGCAAGTGAGAGAGAGAGAGAGAGATAGAGAGAGAGAGAGAGAGGCAGTCTGAAGAACAAGGAATATTTATATTCTAGAGCGAGGAGGAGGGAATTGTAAAGGCAATTTTAAGAGAGTTAGCAAGCATCTCCAATTTAATTCATCTTATTCCCATTTTAAAAAATTAGTGTTATGTTTAAACTAATGCAAAATGGAAACCGAAATAAGTACTAAAAATAGATAAATTTTATAATCTAATTTTAAAAAGCATTAAAATGAGAAATTTTGACATAAGATAATTAATAAATAAAGCATAATCTTAGTAATGATATTAGAACTAAATATAATTTAACTAGCTTTATTTGGATTCAACTTGGAATGGAATATTTTTATGAATCTGGTCTTACTTTTTTGGATCAGTTTTTTGTGCACTCCAAAGCATTTCTTGTGATTCCATCTACAATTATGTGTTCCATGTTGCAATTGTATGCACCGGTAATGAAAATGGAAGCATAGAGGCAGTAATATTAGGGGCATTTACATACATACCACCCAATTCCCATGTATTTACATATCTAACACCTAAACTTTGCTTTTTGCATTTATATCGCCCAAATCTTTCATATCATATAAAAAATATCACTATTCTAACTTCCGAAAAGTGAAATACACCTTTTCATATGTTGGTAAGCTGGCATATATGTAAAACATGAAGTCTAGTTGTTGGATATGTAAATCTTCCATAATATTATTCATAGCAATAGAAATCTCACCCAAAAAAGGGCGAACTATAAGTATAAAAGGATCCAAAGAGCTTCAATATAGTCCTAGATTCCCAATGTCAAACACTAGATTGAAATTTAAATTCACAAAGTAGATCAATCAAATAACTGTTTGAATGCACAGATTAATTGCCGTTCTTCCTCCAATAATGGTATTTGAACATAACCCTCTCTTTAACAGTCTTAAAAATTGTTTAGTGAATTGATAATTTATTAGTGCTCACGAGTTTTAATTTTGATCCATCTAATGTTTTCTTGTAAAATTCAATTTCATAGGGTGTTTATGGGTATCCTATCGAGATCCAAGCCCTTTTCTTCATGGCATTAAGGTGCGCTTTGATAATGCTCAAACATGATGCTGAGGGGAAGGAATGCGTTGAGCTAATCGTGAAGCGCTTGCATGCTCTGAGTTATCACATGAGGAGTTACTTTTGGATTGATTTTCAACAGCTGAACGACATATATCGTTTTAAAACAGAGGAGTATTCTCACACAGCTGTCAACAAATTTAATGTGATTCCTAACTCGATCCCAGAATGGGTTTTCGACTTTATGCCTAATCGTGGCGGATATTTTGTTGGAAATGTGAGTCCGGCAAGAATGGATTTCAGATGGTTTGCGTTGGGTAATTGCGTCGCTATTTTATCATCGCTCGCTACTCCGGAGCAGTCAATGGCTATAATGGACCTCATCGAAGCACGATGGGAAGAGCTAATTGGAGAAATGCCGATGAAGATTACTTATCCTGCTCTAGAGGGCCATGAATGGATGATTGTCACCGGATATGATCCGAAAAATACGAGATGGAGTTACCACAATGGAGGATCTTGGCCAGGTTTGAACATTTTCATCATTTGAATTTGATAAACGTTACATTTTTTTATCTTAGTTTTATGAATGTTGGAGCTTTTTTAAGGAGATCAAGCAGAAAAAAGCTCCCGGTTAAATATTTTTGACATTATCCATATTTTTTAAAGGAAAATTTGCATCCACACCACACAATTCTGATGTTTTTACATATCTGACACTTAAAATTTGCTTTTTATATTTATACCACCCAAATTTTTCATATCACATAAAACATGCCACCATTTTAACTTTAAAAGTGAAATATCCCTTTTTATGCGTTTAAAAATTGAAGTTTAGGTGTAGATAGGTAAATGCATAAGAATTGAGTGATATGCATGTAAATTTTCCTTTTTTTATTATCTCTAAATCTCCATTTTTTTCTTTCAAATGATGATACTGGTCATATCTAACCCCTGACCATTCCCCTTTGCCATTACTGTCATCAGCTATTTTTTAAAATCTGTATGTTCCAGAGCTGAATCCTCTAATAACACCTGGATTTGTTTGCCAAAATTGGTTCCATGATAGAAATTTGAAAAAAAAAAATGTGGTTATATATGGTTTTCTTGATTTATCCATGTCGTCGAGACATGTGGCTGATTAGGATTGAGTGTGGAAAACAGCCGTTATAGTTGTAGAAAATGTAAAGAACTTTTTTTATTAGTATACTCATTGTTATTATTGTCAAAACTATACACATAATTCAATTAAGTTACTTGTTTCAAGTAATTTTTTTTTTTAAAAACTCCTTATCTTTGAAAATATAATTGAAATTAAAGAATGAACCAAAAGCTTGAAAACTTTTAAAATTGTCGGAACAGAAACTCATGTCCCGACGATATCAAAACTACTGTCCCGTTATGGGATCACTTCTGGTTAATTTTTTTCATATTTTTGTTTAGATTTGTTTTGATTTTGAATTAAATCATGTTTGATTGTGATAGCTGACATATTTTCAAAAAATAAAAGTGATGCCAAACGGGCCTTAAATGTTCCCAAAACATGCTTGCATCAGAGCTCTTTTAAGTTTCCAGTACTATCTCTTCTATCAACCTCATATTTAAATCTTTAGATATTTGATCAAATGAAATGCTTTGGAATAATGATTTTGGAGAAAAGTGTCAAACTGGTCTCCTAACTTTCTGCAAGGAGATATTTTAGTTCTAGAGTTTATAAAAGTATCAATTTAATTCCTAAGCTCTTTTAATGAGAGCTAAATTAATCTTTTTATAGGACAATTTTAGCTCATTTTAAAGGAATGTGGGGATTAATTTCGCACTTTTATAGACTATCGAGACTAACATGACCCTTAGGGTATCATTTTGACACTTTTCTCACTGATTTTGCAACAGAAGCTCTATGTTTAAAAGAGACTAACACATGTAATTTTGGAAACTTTCTCCATTGTTACTCTACAGTGCTTCTGTGGCTGCTTACTGCAGCCTGCATCAAGACGGGCCGGCCTCAGATAGCTCGACGAGCGATCGAGCTCGCCGAGAGCCGGCTTCTGAAGGATGCTTGGCCGGAATATTATGACGGAACGCTCGGCAGGTTTATAGGAAAGCAGGCGAGGAAGTTCCAAACATGGTCGATTGCAGGCTATCTTGTGGCAAAGATGATGCTGGAAGACCCCTCACATTTGGGAATGATTTCCCTCGAGGAAGATAAGGCAATGAAGCCGCTCATTAAGAGATCTACTTCCTGGACGCGCTGAGAGTTTCAGATTGTAATTTTACCAAAGAATTGGGCTGTCTGGTATGATATAAAGTTCATAAACATCCTTTTTCTAGGGTGAGGTTTATAAATAATGAATTTAAGGTTGAGCTTTGTTCATAATAAAGTTTTACTGGTTCTTCATGAACTAAATGATAAACAGAGCCCAATGAAGGCGATTTGTTTCTATTTTTGTTTTTGTATTTGGAATGTTGGAGATCAAAACTGTATTTTTAATGCATCAGTGATTTTGTGGTGATTCAATGGAAATCAAAATCTGGCATAAATTACTCTTAAGATGGTGGAGTGGAGTTTATAAATTTGCACATCCGCTTGGTTTTGTATCAAATATGTCATCTACATGTCTGGTTAATATTGTTGTGTGCTAGAAAATTCGTGGCGACATAGTAGTATTTTAATGATTTAATGTTGCATAAAGATTCAACATAGATAAAAGAAAAGTAGTATGAGATCTCAAAATTTTTTAAGGGAAAAAAATCAGGAGGCTTGGGCTAGTCAAATTGATTCACTATGTAATTGTAAGTAAATATGTTCACTATTCTTTTTAATTAGAGAAGACGAAGTTATAAAGTTGATAAATACAGATGTGCAATAATATTTTAGTTATAATATTCTTAATTAGGTAATAAGAAATACGGTTCTTGGTTATAATAGTAATAATTGGTCACAAATGTCGTAGTTAGTTGTTACAGAGACAATTGTTGGTCATAAATGTTGTATTTTGTTGTTGCAATAACTACTGTAGTTAGTTGTTACAGAGACAATTGTTTGTCATAAATGTTGTATTTTGTTGTTGCAATAACTACACTTGGTCATAGAGGTTATGCTTGAAAATTGTAACAATAATAATTATTTACAAAGATCATAGTTGGTCGCTACGCAGACAAATGTTGGCAATCAAGACTGTGGTTGATGGTTGCAATGCTTGGCCATAGAGATCATAGTTGAAAATTATAATAATATTAGATAGCCACAAAAACTGTAGTAGGTTGCTGCAAAGGTTGTAGTTGGGCATAAAGGTTTTAGTCTCTGATTACAAAAGTGTCAGTTTGCCACAAATGTCATTGTTAGAAACTGTAACCAAAATAGTTATCATAAAAGGCCATAGTTGGTGGCTACAAAAGCAGTAGTTGGCCACAAAGACTTTAGTTGATGGTTGAAATAATATCATTTGGCTATAAAGGTCGTAGATGGAAGTTACAAAAATAGTAATTGGTCACAAATATCGTAGTTGACTGCTACAAAAATATTAGTTGGTCAATAGTTGCAAGCAGGGGTCGTTGGATGTCAGTGATCGGCAGCGACAGGTGATGACGACCTGCAATGTTCGCAGGTGACCGACTGGCAATGTCGATATTGGTCAGTGGCTACGGAGGTTTGTGGTTTTTTGTTAGGTCTTCAACAAATGTGTTATATGCAGCAACAATATTTGGAATACAACGGGTGTAAACAAGGTTTTTCGGTGGCAAGTGGTAGTCAACAACAAGTAGTGACTACCAACATTGGTTGATTGTGCCTGACATGCAGTTATTGATGTTGATTGGCATCTATGGAGGCTAACGATTATCACTAAGTCTTCAATGCATGTGTTACATACAACATCCATATTTAGAATGCAATGCCTGCATATAGTGGTCAACAGTGATACGTTGTGACGATCAGCGATGGTCGATGGTGGCCGACGGACAGTTGTAGACTGTGGGTGATGACTATAGATGTTAGGGTTATTGTTGGGTCTTCAGTAAATTTGTTAGACACAGCTGTCGTATTTGGAATACAATGATTGCAAACATAAGTCATTGGTAGGCAGTGGTCAGCGGTGCTGGCGGTAACAACCAACGGTGGTCGACAACTACGAAGGTCAGTAGTTATCAACGTGTCTTGTCCCCATAATAGGTTCTAGAATTTCCCTTCTTCTTTTCCTTATTTTTTTCCAAGTGAAGAGAGGAAGCCTATTTATAGCCTATTAGGAAGGGGCATTTTGGTCTTTTAGTGCATAACTTTCCTAATCGTTGATTGGACGGTCTCTATTGATCCCCCTTAATTATAGATAGTTGTTTAGTGATTTGGATGCCTTAATAACCTTAGACTTTAGCAATTTTGGACTCGTATGATTCATCTCATCAAAATATTCAATTTGCTATAAATATCTTAATTTTGGAGCTCATTTGATCATTTAATTGATGATATAAAGCCTCCAAATATGTATTAATGGATTGATCTTAGCTGGGTTGGACAAAGATTGAATCATTATAGTATAATTTGGTTCATCCTGCCAAGAAGGTCAATTTGATTATAAACTTACTAAAATTGGGGCCCGAATGATCTTGAATTTGAGTTTGAAAGATTCTTAAAAAATGATTGAGATTCATGATTGATAAAAAATTGTTAATGACACATCAGTTGCCCTTTATTTTCTGGTGATGTTGCTTTTATCGTCCGAAAATATGTAGCTAATACTGAAAAACATAACTTCAGACATTTCAAAAATTCATACTTTAAGGAGATTTGTGTTAATGTAAGTGCTCCATTGAAATTTGACCATGTTGTCGTTATGACCGAGCAATAATGATTCAGAGTAGGTTGGAAAATTATGGTTTGAAGATGATAATAGTGGTCGGGCAGTGGTGGTCTGGTGGTGGTGGTTTCCAGACAGTAGTGTTATAATAACAATGATGTTGGTAGCCGAGCAACGGTGGTCTGGCGGTGATGACAACTAGATGCTAGTGGTCCAGTAATGGCAAAGTTTGTGGTCGGGCAACAGTGGTCCAACAATGAATGCATGTGTGAGCAGGGGTATAGTGATGTGAGCAATGGTATTGAGGCGCGATAGTGATTGTTCACTTGTGTGTAGGGCATGAGTGAAGGTAAAGCACAAGAGTAGGGGGTGAGGTGGAGTGGGAAAGCTGGCGCACGGGGCATAGGCGCATGGAGGAGCAGGCCTGCGTGGTAATGGATGGTTAGCAAGCACGCTCAGATGCTTGTGAGCGTGGGGCATAAACTAGTTTAGCATGAGGGAACGTGAGACACATTAAGCATATGTGGAGTTGTTGCACGGACCATGTTAGCACGACTAAGGAATTTCTCTTGTGTGTTGCACAAGTGGCGGTGGGTGCTTCTGCGAGCTCGTTTGTGTGTGCTCCCGTAGGTTTCTTTAAGGAACTAAACTCTAAAAATTTAAATTTGGCACCCTTATTTTAATTTTTTGCCTATAAATAGGATCTTTAAGAGGGAAAGAAGCCACACCACTCCTCCCTAATTGAAGTGTCATCTGGGTTGTTATTTTCTTCCCCTTCCATGTTGTGGTTGCTTCTTCAACGTAGGTTATTATTGTATTTAATAGACACGTGTTGTTGTTGCATATTCGGATTTGGGTTGTTGTTGCCTTTTTTTGGTGTGGATTGTTGTTGTCATTTATGATGCTGGATGTTGTTGCTTTCGCTTTTCAATTGTTGTTGCCTTCTATAGGCTATTATTGCCCCCCCCACATTAAGGCTATTGTTTCTTTCTTCGACGTTTATGATGTTGGATGTTGTTGCTTTCGCTTTTCAATTGTTTTTGCCTTCTATAGGCTATTATTGTCCCCCCCACATTAAGGCTATTGTTTCTTTCTTCGACACAGGCTGATGTTGTCTTTCTCAGACTATTGTTGCCTCTCCAAATTGAGATTTTTGTTATCTACATTCATGTAGGATGTTGTTGTCTTCTCCTATCAAGATGTTTTTGTCAAATTCAAGTAGTTGTTGCTTGCCCAAGTTCAAGCAGTTGTTGGCCATCCAACTTCAGGTAATTATTTTCAAGTTCAGGCAATTGTTGCCTACTCAAATTCATGCATTTTTTGCTAAATTTAGGCAGTTTTGCTTACCCAAGTTCAAGTTGTTGATGCCAAATATACACACTTATAATTTAGGCAATTAATGTCTATCCTAATTCAAGTTGTTGTTGGCTCCTTACAATAAGACTGTTGTTATTCATGTAAGAATGTTGATTCCTTATACCTTGCCTTCAATGGAAAGCACAGTCATTACAAGTCTTGACAGGAATCCAATATATTTTAATTGAGATATTGCCCCCCGGTAGGAGCACAGTGACATCAAACTTTTTTGAGGCATACACCTTTTGAGATCTATTGAGTTTAATTGTATCCTTGAGGCTTACAATCTTCTAAGATTTTTTTAATGTTCTTGCTAACCTCTTTCTCTAATGAGAACTTTCTAGTGATAATAACCCTATCCACTACTAGCTTTACATCGAAACTATCTCATGGATGTGTCTTCCAAAGGTACGAGCAGAGACTGAGTATGCCATTAAGAGTGTTAAACATATATGAAGTTATTCATCAAAGTATTAATCGACAACATTAACCCATAAGAAAGAGGTCACAAGAAATTTTTCAAAATTGCTTAACCTATCTAAGATTATATATATATATATATATATATATATATAAGATAACATGAAAAATACACCAAAATATGTTTCACTATATATATATATATATATATATATAAGATAACATGAAAAATCCACCAAAATATGTTTAACCAACTTGATGTCATTTGTATATAAGAAGGCATGAGAAATTCACTAAGGATATTTGGTGGATTCGATGTCATTTGTATATAAGAAGCCATAAATAATCCACCAAGGATGTTTGATCGACTTGCGTTCATTTTTTATATAAGAAGCTATGAGAAATCCACCAATAATATTTGACCAATTCAAGATCATTTGTATATAAGCATTCAAGAATAATCTGCTAAAGATGTTTTAACAATTTGAGAGCCTTTGCTTTCTGCAATATAGGGGACCACATACAAGAGTTTTAAAATTTCCCATCACTTATGGTTGAACATAACTTCAATGAATACTATATCACCCCGCGGGATGAAAATATTACCCTACGATGGATCTACACATGAAGTAACTGCTCCATCAATCTGCGTGGCTACAAAAACTAGCTTTTCCCCTACCTAAAATGATAAATTTTTTTAAGTCGGGGTTATGGTATCCCTAAGGTGGAAAATCCCTCGAGTAAATTACATCTTAAAAAATATTTTTTTCCTAAAAACTCTTGATTAAAATAGTGGCCAATCATTTTTATAGATTAAAATGATAGATATCAAGACTGGTATTTGAAATTTGAAAAGAGAATGTCTGAAATTTGGAATAATTTTTCTTGGAAGCCAATGTTTGAGGAGTAAGGAGCATCAAATATTAGAATACCCAGATGTTACTCCAGTTTATCCTATAGT